ATAAATAGAAATTAAATATGCGAGCAGATTGAGAAAAGATAGATGTTTTTAAATTATGAATTATTGTGCATAGTAACAATAGCTCACATTATAATGTTGGACCGAAAACGTTCAGGTGACGTAGCTGAAGCTGAACTTACGTTTTACATCAATAGAAAGAATGAAGAAGTGCCCGAAAAGGTTTTGGAAAGTTTAACAGTAGAGCAGAGGAAGTGTATTAAAGAATTAGACGTATTTCAGATTCCCGGTAAAAGAACAAGGGGTGTGCCTATTTTGCTAACAAAAATAATGCGAGAAAACATAGATTTAATAATAGCTTGCCGTGAAGATTTAAAAATTCCAAGCTCCAACCAATATTTATTTCCAAGACCTGGTACACAAGAACCTTTTTGAGGGCGGTAAGTGTTTAGATATGATAAAAAACAGTGTAATTTGAAACGCCCCGAGATGATAACATCAACCGGAATGAGACATCATATTGCTACAATGTCCCAAATTCATTCTAAACAAAATGATCATTATACTGAGCAATTGGCAGGATTTCTAGGGCATAATATATCAGTTCATGCACAAAATTATAGATTGCCTATGCAGGTACTCCAAAAGCTGTTTAGGATCTCAACTCTTAGAATATGAAAATACATTAATGGAGAAGAAGAGTAACATAATAGAAACGATTAGGTCTCAATCATACCAAGAAACTAAAAACTTTGAGGAAAGGACGCCATCTTTAAACAATTCGGCAATAGAAAGTGACCAATCTAACATCTTACTTACAAACCCCAAAATATCTATCGAAACACCAGAAACTACAGTCAATAAGAACATGGACGATATAGAAATTGGAGACTATAATGAAGTAAACGATAAAATACAAGACAAACATTACAACCAAGATCCTAAAAATAAAGACCCCAAAATTAAGCCAAACAGAAGCAACACGAAAAGAAAATGGTCAAGTAGTACAAGTGAAAGCGATGTTGATGATGATAAACAGATTCAGAAACAAAGTAAAACTAGACGACCCAAAGAAAATAATATATATCATAAAGATTCTAAAAATAAAAATATCAATATTAAACCAAATAACAGAAAGACAAAAAATAAAATGCCCAAGTTTAAGCGATAGTGATAGTGAAATCCAATTCAGAAACGAAAAAACAGTCATAGAAAGTGGTCGGATGAAGAGATACAATTAGTCAAAAAATATTTCCAATCATACATACATAAAAAGATAAATCCAGGCAAAAAACAAATGTATGGAAGTTTTAAATAAAGAACCTATTCTTCAAAATAGGACTTGATGCAACTTAACACGTATGTTAACAATATTTATAAAAAAAGTAAATATATTTTAATGAAGATTCTGTGTGATACAACAAGTTCCTCATAATATTAATAGTAATTATTATAATATATAATTAATATATTATGTATAATAATAGATCTCTACAAGGGCACATGTAATGTCTCCTTAATGTTAGTGGTTTAGTGATAGTACCTGACTATATGCTATTGAATGGGTAGTAAGAATATTTGGTATGTGATTTTTTTCTACCTGTTAATAATAATAATCTTTGACTGACTGATTATAAATGTTTTGAAGATGTTTTTTAAGTTATATTATTCATAAAAATATTGAGAACATATTTTTTTCTTATTATCTGGCTAATTATAATGTTTGTTATAAATGTTAGAATTGCCGATTAAGTACCTATAAAGGAAATGTTACTTATGTTTGTTTATTTTCAAAATTATTTTGTAAATGTTAGTAATGTCTAACGTATTAAAGTTTATATAATAAAAAAAAGGGTGCGTGTACTTATGTACGCGGTAAGAAGTTATACTTCTTTGGCATTATTAAAAATAGTTTTTGATTGCATGCAAATAATTAATTACAATTAAATAATCAAAGACTGGAAAAGGAGTCATTAAAGTCAATAAAGTTCAGTTTACATTTGAAAAATTTATTAAATAAATATTTATTATTATTCTCTTACATTAAACAAATAAAACACTATTTATCTTTAAAACATTTTTATTTCATTATACTATTTATTTTTAAGTGACTCTAATGTCTTCATCAGAATTTCGGTTTGTAATTTTAAATTAATCATTACTTGGTTGTGCATCTACGAGGCTTCTCCAAAACTACTTGCTTTCTGCAACAAATAAGAGAATATTAATTTAAGCTCTGTCCATGCAAAACTTAAAATTTTTTATAATTCATATTATAAATTTTTTAACACATTTATATTAATATAATTATATAAATGTGTTAATAATATAATTAGTAGCACATGCTACAGACCTGGATAGCAACTTTCTTTTATTCTATTTAGAGATAGAGATAATTTAAATATAATACCGGTGTCTTCCTTGTAGGTTTCTTTGGAGTTGTTTGGGATTTGTTGTTCAGTTCGACATGATTTTCTTTAACCTTTCTTTAATCCTACAAAATAATGAAATTGTTAAGTTATGTTGTCACTGTTGTGCACACCTTTGTTTGGCTTTTTTAGTATTCAAGTTATTAAAACTGATTTATTACCTTGTCATTGTTGGCTTTATTTGTTTTGGGATATCATTGTTTCCAAAATGATTTTATTTGTAATAACCTGAAATATATAAATAACATCTATTAATTTAGTATATGTGAGTGTTCGCACTCAGGTATTAAGGTGTATTATACCCACTGTCCATTATAAGTGGGAATGGGCTCACTTCTGGCAGGACAGAGTTTCGGTACTACAAGTGCAACATGGATGTTTTGAGGTATTACAATATTCTAACTACCCTGTAGGGGAATTAAGTAATGTTGTAAGCATATGCCTATGCTTGAAAGGTTGAACCTTGAACATCACCATACATCATATTTATAATTAACATTCCTACCTCGACACCATCACAATCAAATTCATTGAAATCTACTTCAAACCATTGTGTCTCGAGAAGGTGATGGTGGCTTGTTCCACCTCCAGTTTTTGATGTTTCACGGCGATAAGATGACAACTCTTTTTTGTATTCAATTTAGTGCACTTCCACTGATTCATCAATTGTTTTTGTCTCTTGTCCTTATATTTGCTAGATTAAATTGATGTTTTGATTAAATAATGTGGTCATTTTTTTGAGATGCAGGTACTTATTAAAATGTTTACTTCTCTGTTATATCGCTCCAAGCCTTCATTTTCTCCTTATTAGTATTCGTGCTTAAATTTTGTTCTCAATTATTGATATATGGTCTAGAATATTTCTAAAAAGTTGCTGTAACAAACGCAATAAACAAAAGCAATGAATAATGGTTCATGTTTCAGTTTTAATCAACAATAATACTCGATAATACATACGGATAGTTAACCTCAATTGTATTGAAGCACTCAGGAAGGTTAGCACAGTTTTTTCACAAATATTTTATATTATTTCACAAATATTTTGTATAATGAAAATAACTAGGTATATAATTATTAATTTTAAACAATAATTAAAACTCCTATATTTGTTTAAAAGGTAAATGTCATTGTCAGATGTCAATTGTCATGGTCATTCAAAATTTTTGTTAAGCTGCTAGTAGAATATGCGTGAAGTTAGCTTCACGCATATTCTATTTCTCTTTACTTGTAGTTTGTCTTATTCCCATTCGCTCGCGCACGCTATATCACACTGCCAATTTTGTGTCATAGGTGCGCCAATCGTAAAATTTCACTCTCATCAATTTTTCATAACGCGCCTAAAGAAGTACAACTTCAAAAATATATTGATAACAAATGTTTTTTTCTAAATGTCATCCAAACTCAACTTTGATATGATGGATAAGATCATTTTTTGCCTTTCTAAATTATCACTTTAATTAATATATGTAACCAATAACCATGCCACTTAAACATTATAATAACAATTAGAAATTGTCCTTATATAAGACTATTCGAGTATTGGTAGGACTCATGCGAAGGCGAGTCTGAGGAAAGGCCAGACCTTTGTCAGTTAATCAACGGCCAAGCGGTAGCTAAACAACGCTACGGTGTCCCGGGATGAAGGGCATTATTTGCGGAGTAATAACAGGGCTTCGAGACTCGAGATCTTATATTCAGGGTTACTGAGTGCAAACAATATCACATACTCTGTATGATATTGAGCTGCTGGCATGCATGCAGCTGGCCACGAAGCTTAACATCGGGTAAGCGACAAGCGCGTGTCGTCAACAAATTTCCTTACCATATATTATATATATCATACCTATAAACATAAAAACTGAATAAATAAAGAAAAGTTACTGATTATGTGGTCTTGCAATAAATTATAGGAATTAAACCATCCATATACCTTAGGTATGTCCAGTAGGGGGACTTGCTGACTTCTGATTGGCCCATTTGAATCGGATCAACAACTATCGGAGTGGATTTGTATATTGGATCAACATTTCGGTTGCGTTTCCTAAACTTCAACGGAGTAAATAGTTGATCCGGTCGGAACCACATTTGTATGAAAAATATTATATTGGATCAACAAAAACCACCCGGATCAACATAGGTTTTCGGATCAACAAAGTGCTCGCGATATAGCACGCATGATCAACAATTGACGGATTGATATAACTATATATATATATATATATATAATATGTCGGAGATTCAACGCGATTAATAATTACAAAGTTGGTATCACTACCGTCGTCCGACATTACTTAATATTTAAACACAGTCAGTGCGCACGTCCGGCACAGGCGCCGATCGGAAAGCAACTCTAGCTAGTGTACGTTAAACATCGATAGACTATTGATAGCATCGATAGTAAATGGCTATCGATACTATCGATAGTTTTTAAAGAATGTTCTCTATGGTAGGGGAATTACCGTGCGTATTTCATTCATTCATAGGTGTAGACATTGAGATTATTCTCTATGGTAGGAGAATTACCGCGCGTATATCATTCATTTACAAGACAAAAGACAGTCAGTTTTTTATTGTGGATGTTTGAAGTTGAGAGGAGTGGAGTAAAAATAAAAAATGAGTAGCAAGTCACGTGCGTGGGATTACATCAAAAAGACTAATGAAAAGTTTGCAAAGTGTTCTTTGTGTAAAAGAGAGTTTAAACTAAGTGGAAATACTACGAACTTGATTGAACATATGAAGAGAAAACATAATGAGGTATGGTCATCCAATGTTTCTGTTACTCAAGACGTAGATACCACTGAGCAAAATGAGCAAATGGGCCCAACCCCTAAAAAGAGAAATACGGTAAAAAATTATTATGATAGAAGTAGTAAATATCCAGATGGGAAAACAAAGAAAAATTTGGATAACAAATACGTGCGCATGATTGCTGTTGACATGGAACCTTTGCGAAAAGAAGAACATGAAGGATTTCGGGACTTTGTAAATGCTCTCGATAGTAGATACGAAATTCCTGATACAACAAAATTGAAGAAGAAATTGCTGCCGGAATATTATGAAAATGTGAAACAGGAGCTCGTCATAGCATTATCGAAAGCAGAACATGTTTGTGTGACTACTGATTTATGGGCATCAATTGCAAATGAAGGCATCTTTTCAGTTACTTTTCATTTCTTTCACAATCAAAAATCAATTGCACCATTATTGGAAGTCGTGAAGATGGAAGGAAGTCACAACGCCGAAAATATAGCCAGTGTATTTTTAATTTTCATTGCCTTGTCACCTACCAATTCAGTGTTTCTTTATCATCGGACATAAACTGTTATTATTGTTTTCAGGTGTTGGATGCTACTCTTTCAAAATGGGGTGTCAGGTTAAAATGTGAAGCAATAACAACTGATAACGCTCAAACCATGATTAACGCCGCAGCTAAACTGCTATGTGCAGCGATATATACCCTGCTTTGCGCACACACTAAACCTGACGGTGACTGATTCGTTTGCTGTGACCGGCTTAGACCAGATTCTGAAAAAATGTAAATAGATTGTGACATTTTTCAAGATGAGTACTCTAGCTAGCGATAAATTACGAGCTATTCAACGTGAATTAAATAAATCAGAACTGAGAGTGATCCAGGAAGTGCCTACCCGCTGGAACAGTGCATATCACATGCAGCAGAGACTTGTTACAATGAAGACAAAATTAACTCGCACTTAATGAATGTAATCGGGCTCCACCAGGAGTCAATGCTGACGAATACCTAATTATTCAAGAAACAATTCAGATTCTGGAACCTTTCGATCTAGCTACGATAAAAATTTCCGGAGAAAGCTATATAACATTGTCACTGGTAATACCATTGATTCGTGGAATAAAAACGAAATTGGCAGAAGTTGAATCTCAAATTGTTACTGAAAGCGGAAAGAAAATATTACTCTGCGTGAAGGGATCAGTTGACAAAAAACTAAGTCCGTATGAAAACAGGACACCTGTTGTACTGGCTACAATATTGGACCCCCGATTTAAGAAGAAGGGGTTCAAAGCAAGTGACGAAGAGAAGCGAGCTGTTCAGTAGCTAGAAAAGGCCTATGCTAGCCATTTATCTAAAGAACGCTTGGCTGAAGAAACGCAACAACCAACACCATCCATGTCTTCAGGAACACCTGATGACCTGTTGGGGTTCCTAGACGTTCCGGACGTATGACCCCTTTAAGTAACTCATTGGTAGATGTCAGGCAATATCTGGAGAAGCCAGTAATTGACAGGAAAGAGAGTCCTATAACATACTGGAGATACACTAACAATAAATTAAAGGAATTAGCGATGATCTGTGTATTCCAGTATCTTCTGTGCCTTCGGAACGGATTTTTTCGAAGGCCGGACAAATCTTAACCGAACGGAGAAATAGATTAAAAGAAAAAAGGTTAAACGAATTGTTGTTTATAAAACAAAATAGTTAATATTTTAATGTTTGATTTGTTTCTTTAATAATGATAAATGCTGATTTTTTATTATTATTTCAAATTTAATTGAAAATAAAACTCTTCGTTTCGTATAACATTTGTTATTTTATTGATGTTACGCTAATCCTACAATCTTTTAAACTATCGATAGATTATCGATACTATCGATAGACTATCGATACTATCGATAGCTTTTAGTAAAATTCTCGATACTATCGGATTACCAAACTATCGATGTTTAACGTAGACTAACTCTAGCACTTCACGATCGATTCTATGATTCTTAAGTTGGCGGAGGGAAATTAATTTTTTGCACTTTTTTTTAGCTCTATCAACTGTTCGTTAACTGTTCTTCATTGTTCTATAAAAAAAAAATTTTGTTTGTTTTTTTTTTTTTTTTAATTATAAAAAAATTGACCCTCAATTTGGCACGAACTATAGATATTTTGATATTTTTTTTTTCTAATAGTTTAGAATCAAATCTAACGAAGAGATAGCGATTGTTTTTGATAAGTACTTTTCTGACATTCCAATTTCGACTACTAAGTCTCTTCAATCATCTCCCGCCCTCGCCGAATCACTGCTCAAAGATAATGTAAACGAGTGCAAGGTCAGTTTTTCATTCCGACCCATTGGTGCCGACGATATAGTGAGGATATTTAGAACCATAGATATTAAGAACACCACCGATCTTTGGGGTATTTCTGTAAAAATAATTAGTAGCATAATTGATGTAATTGCTCCCCATCTAGCTATAATTTTCAACAATTGTATTAAAAGTGGCGAGTTTCCCGATCTAATGAAACATAGTAAAGTTATTCCTTTATTTAAAGCAGGTAGTATGTCCGACCCCAGTAACTTTAGACCAATTTCCGTACTACCTACTTGTAGTAAAATATTTGAAAAAATTATATTAAATCAACTGGTAAGTCATTTTAACGTAAACAAATTATTACATAATAATCAGTTCGGTTTTACCAAGGGTCGCTCGACAGCCGATGCCGGTGTTGAGTTATATAGATATATAGTTAAGGCTTGGGAGGAGTCGCATGACGCTTTAGGTGTTTTCTGCGACTTATCCAAAGCATTTGATTGTGTCCAACACGAGACCTTAATCGGGAAACTCCGCCACTATGGCATCAAGAATACCGCACTGAATCTTCTGACTTCCTATTTACACGGAAGAACTCAGAAGGTTGAAGTGAATGGTAAGAGGTCCTCTGGGTCGGCAGTAGATATGGGGGTACCACAGGGTTCAATTCTTGGCCCTTTCCTCTTTCTTGTTTATATAAATGATCTACCTTTCATGGTAGAGAGAAAACATCAGATAGTTTTGTTTGCTGATGACACGTCCTTGATTTTTAAAATCAAACGACAAATAACAAATTTTGACGATGTGAACAATGCTCTGTCTTCGATTGTCCATTGGTTTAGTATGAATAACCTTCTACTTAATGCAAAAAGACAAAATGCATTAAATTTTGTGCAAAAAATGCAAGGGTTATGGATACTAGACCAATTATAAACGGTGAGGAATTGAATCTGGATGATACAACTGTATTTCTCGGAATCACCATGGATTCAAAACTTCAGTGGTCCCCTCATATTAACGGATTGGCGAAGAGACTTAGTTCTGCAGCCTACGCGGTTAAAAAAATTCGCTCACTAACTGATGTCGATACAGCTAGACTTGTTTATTTTAGTTACTTTCATAGCTTAATGACTTATGGCTTATTATTATGGGGTCATGCTGCTGATGTCGAAACTATTTTCATCCTGCAGAAGAGGGCTATTCGTGCAATCTATAATTTAAAATGTAGGGAATCTCTTAGAGATAAATTCAAGGAAATTAATATACTTACCTTTCCCTCGCAATATATTTATGAAAATATTATGTATGTATACAAAAATAGTGATAAGTTTACTAGAATAGAACATACGCACAATGTTAATACACGGAACAAACGCAGGCTGCAATTTCCCCGTACTAGACTATCTAAAGTTAGTAATTCTTTTTTGGGGAAAGGGATACTCTTCTTTAATAAAATCCAAGAGGCTCTTTTATCACTGCCTTTCAATAAATTTAAGAAATATATTAAAGAAAAGCTGTGTAAAAAGGCTTACTATAAAGTCAACGATTATCTAGTTGATAAAAGGGCCTGGGACTAGTGCTAGACAGGCTACTTCTAATCAATTTGCGATATTTGTTTTAAATAAGTGTTGTTTGATGATTTGCTGTTTTAAAAGAGTACCGAGAGTTTTTTACGCCGGCTTTTTCTCTCGGCCTACACCCTCTGTCTTCTTTGCGGATGAGTAGGGATGCCTTCAAATTTAATGACGTGGAATAAGTGATACATGTATCTTATGTTCCATAATAAACATATTTTATTTTATTTTATTTTATTTTATTTTAGAACTATTCAATAACTGTTCGTTCAAAATAAACAACTGTTCGGCTTTCATTATCCTGTAATTTAATAATAATTAACTTTTTTTTATAAATCTTAATTAAATGTTATTGCGCATTGATTATCGCTCTTGTGAAAATTCATATTAATTAATAGTTTCTCGATTTTAACCATGACGTGGATATATGTATGGAGTATGGAGAGATAATAAACAAAATACTCCACTTTATACATAAGTATTATTTAAAAAAAAGGCGTGTACTTATGTACGCGCGTAAGAAGTTATACTTCTTTGGCATTATTAAAAATAGTTTTTGATTGCATGCAAATAATTAATTACAATTAAATAATCAAAGACTGGAAAAGGAGTCATTAAAGTCAATAAAGTTCAGTTTACATTTGAAAAATTAATTAAATAAATATTTATTATTATTCTCTTACATTAAAACAAATAAAACACTATTTATCTTTAAAACATTTTTATTTCATTATATATTTATTTTTAAGTGACTCTAATGTCTTCATCAGAATTTCGGTTTGTAATTTTAAATTAATCATTACTTGTTGTGCATCTAGAGGCTTCTCCAAAACTACTTGCTTTCTGCAAAAATAAAAAATATTAATTTAAGGTCTGTCCATGCAAAACTTAAAATTTTTTATAATTAATATTATAAATTTTTAACACATTTATATTAATATAATTATATAAATGTGTTAATAATATAATTTGTAGCAAGCTACAGACCTGATAGCAACTTTCTTTTATTCTATTTAGAGATAGAGATAATTTAAATATAATACCGGTTCTTCCTTGAGGTTTCTTTGATGTTTGGGATTTTTGTTAGTTCGACATGATTTCTTTAACCTTTCTTTAATCCTACAAAATAATGAAATTGAGTATGTGTCACTGTTGTGACACCTTTGTTTGGCTTTTTTAGTATTCAAGTTATGTAAACTGATTTATACCTTTATGTATTGTTGGGATATAATGTTTCAAAATATTTTATTTGTAATAACCTGAAATATAAAATAACATCTATTAATTTAAGTATCATGGTGAGTGGTTGCACTAGGTATTAAGGTGTATTATACCCATGTCCATATAAGGGGAAGCTCACTTTGGCAGGACAGAGTTTCGGTACTACAAGTGCAACATGGATGTTTTGAGGTATTACAATATCTCTAACTACCCTGTAGGGGAATAAAGTAATGTTGTAAGCAATATGCCTATGCTTGAAAGGTTGAACCTTGAACATCACCATACATCATATTTATAATTAACATTCCTACCTCGACACCATCACAATCAAATTCATTGAAATCTACTTCAAACCATTGTGTTCGAGAAGGTGATGGTGGCTTTGTTCCACCTCCAGTTTTTGATGTTTCACGGCGATAAGATGACAACTCTTTTTGTATTCAATTTAGTGACTTCCACTGATTAAATTGTTTTTGTCTTTGCCTTATATTGTAGATTAAATTATTTGATTAAATAATGTGGTCATTTTTTTGAGATGAGGTACTTATTAAAATGTTTACTTTAAGTAGCTTCATTTTCTCCTTATTAGTATTGTGCTTAAATCTTTTTTCAATTATTGAAAAGGGTCTAGAATATTTCTAAAAAGTTGCTGTAACAAACGCAATAAACAAAAGCAATGAATAATGGTTCATGTTCATTTTAATCAACAATAATACTCGATAATACATACGGATAGTTAACCTCAATTGTATTGAAGCACTCAGGAAGGTTAGACAGTTTTTCACAAATATTTTATATTATTTCACAAATATTTTGTATAATGAAAATAACTAGGTATATAATTATTAATTTTAAACAATAATTAAAACTCCTATATTTGTTTAAAAGGTAAATGTCATTTCAGATTCAATTGTATGTCATTCAAAATTTTTGTTAAGTTGCTAAGTTAGAATATGTAAGTTAGCTTCACGCATATTCTATTTCTTTACTTGTAGTTTGTTATTCCCATCTCGCTCGCGCACGCTATATCACACTGCCAATTTTGTGTCATATGCGCGCGCAATCGTAAAATTTCACTCTCATCAATTTTTCATAAGCGCTAAAGAAGTACAACTTCAAAAATTATTTTCTTTTAATAAAACACTATTTTGACCGGATTGAAGTTATGTATTATTATAAATTTAAAATTATGTTAAATAGTTGTAAATTTATAATAATACATAACTTCAATCCGGTCAAAATAGTGTTTTATTAAATGAATAAAAGTTATGTTAATCAAAGACAATACTAAATTTATTTTCACTCACACACACAACATTTCACTAAAAGTGATTGATTACAGTTGATAAACAAACATTCATCGTTTCTTCTGAGAAAGTTAGTATGAAATGTTGATAATATTGATATAACAATATTGTAGCATAATACTCTTTTTTATTTACTTTCGCAAATTTAATGAAAAATATATTATTATTTTTTGTAGACAAAGGAATGTATTTCATTAAATTTTTTTTTAATGAAACTCTTCAGTGATTTATTCCAAAATAAATTTCGTGAAGCAACTATGACATATTTCTTTGGTAATTTTGGGACCACGTGCTTCCACAATTTTTTACTTAAAATTGCTTGGTCGTTGTCTAATCTACGTTTGAAATTTTAATCATTAAAGGCCAGTTTTTAATTCGGAATAAAACTAATTTGTTACAAAACTAATTTTTTGAAACTAATTTGTTACAAAAATTCAAGACATTGTCAAATATCTACTGATTGTGATATTATTTAGTTATTTTATTTAAATAAATGAGTAAAAAATAATATACATCGAAGCTAGATATCGTTTAATCATTGGTCTTATAAGTTTAACAAATATTTAATTTTATAAATAAATGTTAATATTAATATCAGAATTATTGTATTAATGAAGTGTACTGATTATTTTAGATTTGAAACCCTAAGTCAGTGAATCCACAAAAAACTCAATAGTTTTAAATTAAGGAACAAAAACAGGTCTGACAAATCATTTATCAAACCAACAAAAAAATGTCGCAGATAAATGTTTACAGTGAAAAAATTAGCAGAGAAGTTGCGAGTACTTCTGCAGCCACATTATCTGCCTCCAACAGCTTGACAGACCTAGCGAACAGGCTCGCTAGGTCTGTCAAATTGACTTGCTGTCATACTTATCGAGATCCATAAGGTCAGTATTAGTAGGTGGTACTATCATTAGTTGTCAGAGGTAATTATTAATAATTAAGCATAAGAATTAAAAACAAACGATGATAAACTTGTAATAATTCAATTTCTTTATTTGTTTAGATAATATTTGGACGTTTTGATAGAGAAAGTTGCGAATGACGTCATTTTCCCGTGCAAATATTACACACCAGGATGTACAAAAAACAGGATGTATTAAAAAACTTGGGCTTAGTAATTTGTCAGTATTTTTAATAAAACTTCATATTTAATAGTTTTGAGTACTTTTGAAATAAATTAAAAAATAATAATATTGCTATGGCAGGATCAATTATCAAAAATTTGATGAACAAACTTATAAAATAAAGGAATAAACTTGTAAAATCAACAAACTATTGAAATCTTCACCAAAAAATTGATATAAATAAACAATAATTAAAAAAATTAAATTCACTCTTTAGTAGAAATCGAAGTAAAAACAAGAAACTCATTTTCAATAAAATAATAAAACTATATTTATGGCACTGGTTAGCTAGTTATCATCTTTTCAGTATACGATTATTATGATTGTTTTATTATTAATCGATAAAGTAGATAATCTTTTTATTACGTTCTTATGAGTCAAAATAATTAATTAAATTCGTTATTTTAATTACAATATTTATGCTAAACATAAATAATAATTTTTTCTGTTATTTATATTGGGATTTTTTTTCAACTATAGTGTTATTTATTTATGGGTATGGACGATATTATTATTTTTTTTAACTTCATATTATTGGTATTATCATTGTAGGCTTTATTATTATTATTATTACTAGCTGGCCTGGCGAACATCGTACCGCCTAACAGTCGATCCTTTATTTTTTTTAAATACTTATTCTGCTATTCGGGACACCGGTCTAGCTAGTAAGATAAAAAAAATAAAGTTGATAAGACAACAAATACATTATGTCAAAAAATAAAAATTTACCTTCCCGGAACCCCTCCACTAACACTTGAACTTTATGATATGGTATTAAAGTTCAAATTGACTTTTAAGTATTATTACGAATATTTTGTATGGGAATATAGAAAAGTGTTGTTTTTAGACTTTTTCACTCAATTTTTTTAAATTTTTCTCTCCGTAAGAACCATCCTCGTACTTCAAGGAATATTATAAAAAAAGAATTGGCCAAATTGGTCTAGGCATTGTTGAGTTATGTGCTTACCAACTGATTTTGCGATTCATTTTTATATTATAGATTATTATATTCAAACAAATGAAAATCAGTGTGAAACGTATTTTTAGAGAAATTCGAGGAACTTAAAAAGACAAAATTATCTGATTTTGATTATTGTTAAGAGAATTATAATTCTTCAAAATAATTAAAAAAAACCTATAAATTTAACGAAGTATCATTTAAATAAAAGAATAATTAAAGTAAGTTTACTAGAATGAAATATCGAAATTATTTTATTGGCTATATCATTTTTTTTCAGGTAATTCTTTTTTTATATCATTATGCCTCCAAAATCAAGAGTATCAGTTGAAGATACAGTTAATGTGTTATAACTGATGTACAATTATTTTGCGTCTGACCAATTGCCGGACTGGTCATCGGACATATGGCACATTATGTCAAAAGAACCTGAATTTGTAGGTAAATGGAACGTTCAATGTATTAGGACGAATGTTAAAGAAAATCGAAGAGAGATTCTAACCAAAGCACGCGAACAATGTGGATATTTTCATTCAACTCACAATAAAAACACGGATTGTGATGATGATAACTGGGATGATGATGAAGATGAAGAAGATGATGAAAAACGTGATCCAGATTACTTTAATTATGTATATTCTAAGCAACAAAAGAATCATGATACTTTTGACGTGTAATTTTCTAGACATTTATGGAATTCAATAAATAAAATAGCTCCTATCGTGGAAAATAAACCTAATACTCTTGGATTGCAGCCTAAAGTGTGGACAGATGTATTAGCATTAGAGTTCTGGAAACAATATCGACTAAAATGTGCCTTTGTTTTTAAAAAAGCTACAATTCAGGAATATGGAAATTATTATTTAACAATCTTCGGACGTTGTAAAGCCAAAACATGTAAAAAAAAAATATTTGGATATGTAGAAGAAAATCCAGGGGACTATGGTGATGTCATAATTAAAATCAACTGCCGAGATACAAGATTCGAGAAACATGAAGACTGTAAACGACCCCTTCAAGGAAAAAGAAGAGACGAAATGAAGAAAGAAGTGAAGGAAAAAGGTGTGAAAGGGAGTAATCTTGATGCTGCTCAAAAACTTCTTCAGCCAGGTGATACTCAATGTCCGGTTATGAGTAGAGCCAATGTCTTATACCAATTGAAGAAAGAGAGTATCGAAGATAATTTTGATGCACGTCCAGAAGATCGAAAAAATCTTGTAAATGCACTGCTGTCTATCAATGAAACACCAATTTATCAAAGCTCTGTGATAACCGTATGTTTGAAACCGTTTTGGGTATTTTATGCTACTCCATCCCAAATTCATTGTTTTAGAGAGTATTATCGTTTGCATAGAAAATGTTCAAGAATTTGTATTGACGCAACTGGAGGAGTAGTCAAGAAATTCACTGATCCCATTAACGGACGTACAAGCGCAATTTTCTTATATTCAATAGTAATAAATTTTGATGGTACTTCCTTATCAGTGTTTCAAATGCTGTCAGAAGCTCACGATGCCGATACCATCACACTTTGGTTAAGAAAATGGGTGCGGGAAGTATCCAATAACACGACCCCACACTATCCTTATGAAGTTGTGTTCACGAGCTCTTCTTAATGCAGTATCTTTAGCATTTAATAGTCGATCATTATCTGATTACATAGAATTATGTTTTAACAACGTTAAATGTGCCACTACAACCCAGCCAAACACATATATTCGCTTGGACACGGCTCATTTTATTCATGCAGCTAGTAATTGGAAGTGTTGGAAGTCAGTAATCGATAAAAATGTTAAGTCATTTTACTTGTACTGTATTGCACTACTTATTGAATGTGATCAGTGGAAAGATCTAGAAAGGATTTTGATATTAACATTAATCATTTGCAATACTGAGTATGAAGATTCCATGATTTGTTATAATAATAAATTTATTACTCCTCTAGATGCTCGAGTTGAGTTGGAAAATCTTATCAGCAACAGAAAAACTAAAATTTTAATAGATGACATGGAAGAAAACATAAAAACTATGGATTTTAGTACGGATAAAAGTGACATTTTAAATGACACTTGTTTTGAAAGCTCATGTGACAATAATGTTACAATTAAATTATGGGCAGATAATCTTGCTTCGCATTCAGACAATATTCAAAATATTGGTACCATATTAAATTGTTTTTATGTTCCATTATTTAAAGAACCATTGATACATATAGCCAAAGAATTCCCTTTATGGACCAAAGTTTGTGTCCCAAATAAAAAGTTACGCCCAACGTCTTCATATATCGAAGAGGATTTCAAGGACTTGAAGATTATGTTGAATAAACAAATCACTTTACCAGCACGTATAGATATTTTCGTAAAGGCTCATCTTAAAAATCTTTTGGGCGGGGTCGTTTTACTTCAAAATAAAATTACAAAATTAGTTGATGACAATCTTAATAAATCATCAATATCAGTTGAAAATTTAAATTGCCATGATAAAAAGTCTGAAGAGAAATTAAACAATAATGATACGTTTCAGGACATTTTACAGAACGAAAATTGGCGAGGATTAGGAAATGACCCGAAACATGCTAATAAAGAGTGGATGAATTATCAAAACGATGTAAATTTTCCTGATCAACGTGATTTAGACGAAAATATTAAAGATGATATGGCTAGTGAGAAAAAAAATATTTCAAGTATGGACATTAGTGATAACGACATTCTGATGAAATCTATAAATAATGACCACGATTATGATGCAACAGCTAATACTCCATTAAGTGATAAAATTTATGAAGATAATACATTAGATGTCGCTCTTGAGAAAATTAGTCGAAAAATCACAAAAGAAGGTAAATATTTCCAAGACTGTCCTGAATTAAAATTGGTAAATAATATGATTAAGTCTGAAAATAACAAAGAAAATGCTTCAGCTATTAAAAATAAAGGAATTCGTAAAGAAACTTACCTATTAATAAATGGAAATAAAAGTGGGCCAATTGTTTATAAAAATATGCATTTTTTAGTTCAAAACACATGTCCATTCGATTCTATAATTCAATTACTTTTTAATGGAGTACTGGAAAATGAAAGCTTCAGAGAATATGCAAATGGATCTGAAAATTCGAGTTTTAAACTTGCTTTAAATTTAATGAAAAATGGCGTTAAGAAGAACCCGAAAATATACAATGAACGATTTTCTATTTTGCATAAATTTTATCAGGAAATAGAACCAAGGCAAAAAATGCAGTGGACATCGGACTAAGAAAAAAGTAAAGCTCTTGTCATATCACGTGTAATTAATTGACTGTAATGACAATGTGACTAGATTATGGAATAATTTGTTTCAAGACGAGCCTAGTTTATTCGAAAATTTTCTATGTGAATCACAACAGTGTAATTTTCGATTGAGTAAACCGGCAATAGGTGTAGATTATCATGTTCTACTGAAAAATGGAATTCAGGATTTGCAGTCTGCGTTGATTTTTCGCGGTTCTTTTAAAAAGCTTTGTCCGGTTTGTAAAAGTATACAAACTTGTGAACAAAAGCTCAACATGTATATTTATATTGAGCTAGACATACGGTTGCGTAACGATATTAAAGGCTTATCATGTAAACTAAGAAATTTTCCCATTATTTTAAATATCAAAGAAAGTCAAACTAAAGTCATACGGTATCGGTAAGTATAATTTTATTATATTTTTTGTAAGATACAAAGCTATTGGTCACAATGTGAATCATTATATTGCATATTGTCGAAGATTGTCAGGAATTTGGCGATTCTATAACGATATGTTACCAGCATCACAAATAATAGGTGATCATTCTGAAATTGTGCCACATGGAGTACATTATTTACGATAAAATTCAGTAGACGAATAAGTAATTTTATTGCAATTTTATGTTTTGTTATTACGATGTCAAAATGATTTTTATTATGTTACCAAAAACATACTATTTAATGTTAAATTTTATTTTAAATTTTTTTTTATATTTGTAATGGTAGTATTGTTAAAGCAGAGTTCTTAAATTTTCAAGAAATTTTATTAATATATATTACCAAAAATATATTAAAAATTTAATTTCTTAGATTATTTTTCTGCATGATTATTAAAAATATTATTTTATACTCAAATATATGCTTAGGTCAGAAAATGAAGAGAAAAGTTCATAAAAAATTTATTATTTGATTAATTCAGTAATTTTATCTGTCATAGTCATTTATTATAAAGTTAAAATCTTAAGTGTTTAGTTTACTAATATATCTATCGTTATTTAATGATTGTTCTTTGGCTAGTTTAAGTGCATCGGTGTACAGCATTTTAAACTCTATTCAAAACCAGCTGATTTTTGCTATATTTTTCACATAATGATGAATAATTTATAATAAGGGCTTACGATGTGATTATTTTTAACAACAATAAAAGATGTATTGATAATAAAGAACTTTTCTTGTTATTTCTTTATCTCATAAAAAAGTCTAATAGATTATTCATTAATTGTGTATTTTTTCTGATTTGTTTATTCACAAAATAAGAAATATCCATATGCTATTTTATAAAATAGTCGTATAATATGAAAACTGTCATTCGAGATGAATCGCTAATACGGAAATAACTTAATGTTACGCGTCGTTTACGTTATAATTAAAATCTTGTTAACATGTGTTGATGAGACTAATATAAAAACGACGATATTTTTTTTTAATAAATAGAATAATAAAAAGAAAAGAAAAGAAAAAAATAAATTAATAAAAAGAAAGTATCAGCCGGGGGGGCTGATACTTCCTAGCTCTCCTACCCGGGGTACAAATTGGACTCATTGAGCACATCCAAATAGCTACAGATTCCCTGCTCGAAAGGGTTCCTACCGCTGAAATCGTGATACTTGGCGATTTTAACGCCCACCATGCCGATTAGCTCGGCTCAGAAACCACCGATCATGCGGGAAGATCCTTTCACGACTTTGCTTTGGCTTACGACTTGACGCAAATGGTCCCTGCGATTACGCGAATACCAGATGTCGATGGTCATAAACCCTCTTTGTTGGACCTTCTGCTGACTTCACATCCGGAGAACTACCTAGTCTCTGTTGAACCGCCATTGGGTTCATCCGATCATTGTGTGGTCCGGAGCATTGTGCCGTCCACGCGCCCTCTACGGCCTAGCTTCACGGGCTGTCGCCGCGTGTGGCACTATAAGTCAGCAGATTGGGATGGGATGCGGTCTTTTTTTGCGTCCTAGCCTTGGGGGCCCATTTGCTTTTCGTCGAGTACTCCAGATGCCGTCGCTGACTCTGTCGCCGAGGTGGTCCTGCAGGGTATGGAACTTTTTATTACATTCTCTGCGGTGCCGGTCGGTGGCAAGTCCCAGCCTTGGTTTAGGCGTTCTTGCAAAGCGGCTTTGCGCCGTAAGCGTGAATGCTTTAAAGCCTGGGCAGAAGCGGTGACATCCTGTGATGTGACTATCGGCGAACGTTAAAAAGCATACAATTCAGCCTTCAGGTCCTTCAAGCGGGAAATCGCTTAAGCAGTCAGAGCACATTGCCAGATTTGGTGAGAAATTGGCCCACCTCCCTTCGGGAACTCGAGCCTGTTTTTCGTCAAGAGATCCTAAACTATTAGGCATATTCCACAAAGTATAGTATCGTTCAGCAATTTGCTTCCACTTATTTGTGTCTGGAACCGCCATATATGTATTCATTAAAGTTTCCCATATTTTTTTAGTAGTCTCAGCCACGATGTTTGCAATTGTGGATTCTGCTCTGGCGAAATATAAGCCCAATGCCACATATGTAGTAGATGTACCTCCTAAATACATGAAAACAAATAAAGCTAGGTATATAGGCAAGTAAAACATTTAAATATTGAAGAATATAAATATAGTAAATCTAAAATCTAAAGATAACATTGAAAGACGCTTTTTAATGTTTTTTTTATTTAAATCTTGTTACAGGTGCCGCATGCAAAGAAAAATGGCAAAATATGCGTGTTGTTTTTATGAGACACTTGAAACCTTTGCCAAGTGGTTCTAGAATAAAAAAGAAGAAACCATACTATTTACTCGATTACATGCATTTTTTAACACCATATGTAAAACCGGTGAATCCGCACGAGGCAGGGAACTTGCCATCTACTAGTTCAAGAGAGAATACGACAACTGATGTGTCAAACGATGTGCCTACCGAGTTCGAGCAATGTACTGAGCGCAGTAATGTAGACGAGCCTAGCCCTCCTAGTACTCATGATGATTCCGCTCATCATTCTTCAAACCCAAAGCGAAAGAAATCTTCATTGCACGAGACTGATAAGCATTTCATTAATTATTTAAAACAGAAATCTACTCGCATAAATGAATCTCAGACGTCCACGGACTCTGTTATGTCGTTTTTAAAGTCTCGCACCTGAATTAAGAGAAATGAATCTGCAACAATTCAAATTATTCAAGAGACGAGTACTAAACCTTATTGATGACATATTGAATCCAACTCCTCCTACGCCTGAAAGTGCAGCAACGAGTGAATCAATTACATACGTTCTTGAGGACTCACACATTCCCTCATGTTAGTATTCTGTTTCTGCAGCTGAGGTGTCATTATTTCAACAAGCTCAAGGTATGTCTTTTTGCTCATACGATAACAATCCATGAATTTTCTGTCAGTTTGTTGAAATTCTTTAGCAGCCACAAACATACGGCAGTTGATATTCTTCTCAATGTAGGGATGTAACCACATACTTCTTCTTTTACGCCTCCTTCTTTGTCGAAGTTACAAATACAGAACCAGAACTTCTTCATCACTTGAACTAGACATTTTGGAGACGTCTGTCTGGTCTCAAAATCAGAATGATTGTGACTAATTTCATCATATTTAGGTTGCGGCGTGTCTGGAAAATGTTTGAAACTGGTTTCAAACCTATAATTTCAAAGGGTTTCGTTGCAGTTGGCGTTTCACCATGTGTGCTGGGCCTAAAATATCGGTACAAGGAAAAAACACCCAATGTCAGAACCGTGCAGGAAAAAACAACCGTTATCCATAAGACTTTTAGGTTATATTTTTTGATATCTTTTTTTGTTTATAATAAATTATTATATTATATTTAATTGTGAGTTTTTTTTAGACAAAATGTGTGACGAAGAGTGTAATGTTTTGAGGTGTAAAAAGTCTAGTACAAAGAGAAAAACTTTCGGTCGAATATCAGAAGTTAACAAGAAGATAAAAGTACAAAGTCATGAGATGGGAGAAAATTGTAATTGTAATCGGTACAAGTGTTTTGATGTGGTAAATCTAGAACAAAGAAACAAAATTCTAAGAGATTTTAACCTCCTGCAGACCCGTGATGACCAAAATTTATATTTGTGTGGTTTCATCACAGTTTATGAGGTACAACGAAGGCGTCCAAGAAAAGCCGAAGATGAGGCAAATTTACATTCAGCAACCTATGCATACCGGATTAGAAACACTGAAGAAGTCTTTGCAAGAAACTGGTAACGCGCCATTAGACATGCGAGGTAAGCACAACAACAGGCCAAGGAAACTCACAGAAGATGTGAAAAATAAAGCAATGGAGCACATTAGGTCCTTTCGGGGCTGTAAAAGCCATTATAGCTTACATGAATCCTCAAAAATATATCTTCCTGAAGAATTAAATGTGAAAAAATAGATGATTTGTTTCAATACAAAAATTTATTCGTACAGAACCATTTTTGTTAATAATTTCAATATTGCTTTCCGAGGTCACATACATGCGGAAATTGTGATGAATTTAAGGCTAAACTGAAGGGCTTAGAAGTAGACTTGAAGAGTGTATCTAACAGTGAAGAAAAGGTTGTTATTGAGAAGAAGATAAAAGATTTAGAAACTGAAAATAAAGTACACAAGATAAAAGCAGAGACATTTTATCGCAAAAAAAGGGAAAGCAGGATTCACTGTCAATCTTCTTTGAAAAGAGAGGCTATCGCCATGGATTATCAAAAGAATTTGAGCATGCCTAACATAACCACTAACGATACCTACTATAAGAGACAGCTCACCTTCAATACATTAAACATTCACGTCCTGGATTCTTCAGATTCCTTTTTTTACTGCTACGATGAGACCATAGCTAAAAAAGGAGCAGAAGAAGTTTGCTCTTTCCTACATCATTATATCTTTACAAAACTTAATGCGAATGTCAGAGAGTTAGTAATATTCTGCGATTCATGTGGGGGGCAAAATAAAAACTATTGCATGTTCAGATTTATAAACTATGTGGTTCACACAGCCGAACGTTTGGATGTAATAAAAATGGTATATCCGATTCGAGGTCATTCGTACTTAGAATGTGACAAAAACATGGCACTTATAAATCAGAAGGCTCCTTGTGAAACAACAGATGATTGGAGAAAAGTAGTGTCCGAGTCAAGGCTAAAACCTACACCATTTCGAGTTATTGATGTTGATCGGCCTTTAGTCCGATCTTGGACCAAGTTTTTGGCACCAAAGTATAAAAAGACATGCCCATTTCTTTCTAGACCTATCCGTGAAATCAGAGTTGAGATTACACATCCCCGTCTTATTTTCTACAGAGATTCCTATATTGGACACTGGACTTCCTCTGCTATGCTGGATGCAAAGAGAAGGGTAAACACATCATCCGGTGAAGACTTCCCTAATTCAGGAGAATTTACTCTCCCTGACCAAGCTTACAAGGACATTTTACCGATCAGTAAAGCAAAATTCCTGGATATACAGTCATTATCAAAATATTGTGGACTGACAGCAAAACAGTTTTTTTCAAACTTTAAGTACAATAATTAGATTTGATTAGTCCCTATACCTACCCCTACCCCTAACTTGCCCTCCCCCTTATACCATTATAACTATTGCAGTTGAAGTGCCTTGGTGACATCAATCGTTTTTCCCCTGATGTTGGTGACATAGGATGATTTTAACAGGAATATTCTGACTCAGTCACAATTTTTTATTATAAATTTTAGCTGATGTGAAGTCAAAATGAAAAAAATTATAACTATATTAACAATAAACATCCTTTCAGTGAAAAAAGCTTATCTTATTTGTTTGGGTATAAATGACACTATTTTACTTAGGTCTTGTCTTTTAATTAGTAATATCTCAGTTTGTTAATTATGTGACAAAAGGTATTTTTCCCCTGACCCCTTCACTTATCAACCTACTAGTAATTCACTTTTGTAAGTTTATAAGGAAAAGAGAGAATAAAAACTGGTCTGAATCATCAAACTTTCAGACAGACCTATGTCTAAGGGTACAACTGTAGGGATAAGGAATCTGACGAACTGTTAGGTTCTTAGTTCTCACCCTTGCATATTTTTAGTGATTTAGTGCAGCTTGCACCCACTACATTTATAATACAAATACTCAACACTCATGTCACATATAAATTTTAGTTAATTGTCTGGCACACTGGTTTGTTTTTTTTTAACAGGTTTGGATTATCCTAACTACTTCCCCTAAATCTAATCAACAAATAGATTAGTGGCCACAATGCCACTATCAAAAACATGGAAACAAACCAACCTTACAAGCCAAACACTAAATTTATTCTTTGAAATTAAAAACATAAATTAATTATATTTTATAATAATTATATATATTTTATATAATTATATATATTTTTTAAATAATATTTATTTATTATTTATAGTTAATAGGAGCCTCCTAAGATTAAACTTATGAGCGGACTTTATATTAAATAATTGGAATTTTAATTTTATTATATTCTTCAGTAGTTACGACTTAGACAAATTTTGTATCTAGAAAAAATGCTAAGCATTAATTTGAGTATCCATGAGATATGTAAAAGACAAACCATTATCTTTAATAGTTGAATAAATTACAATGGTCCAAAATTAAAACAACAACAATTTTCCAAATCATAACAAACTTAAAAGTAAGAAATCAGATTCCGAGAAGATTTTATGAAAGTGATCTAATTCCAGGAATGCCAATGCTTTTAAACAACAACTTAACAAGGAGTTTAAAGTAAAAATCAGAGTCAAGTTATTTTAGTTGTTGTTGTTTAATTATGTGCAGTATAGAGTTTTTCAGCAATGGGCAATAGATCTTGACTAGCAGAAATACTGTTAATTAGAAATTGATACAATTTATGTAATTAAAAGGAAGTTGTTGCAAATATACGACTTCAACAAAAAGATATAAATTTAACAACAAGGACACAGTGACTTAACCATTAATCACACTGATGATTATAATGATCAAGTACATGAATGTAGTAAGACCAACAAAACCATTACACTTCCCACAAAAAAAAGAAACGATTGGGGGTTATTTCCTTGGCACTGAATTACAATTTTACTTACTATGTAAAAATAAATTAGTATTTATGTTATATTCGACGGAGAGAAAACCTATTACAAAACAGAAAAGAAAAGGCACAAGGACCAAAGTAATGGTACCTAAATGTGTCACGAAGGATATGGAATAAGTTTTATCGTTTAACTTTAAGACTGAAAATAATATGGGATATATATAAAAAATCAGTAATAATTAATACAAGTTCCGACACTAACCCACTAAACAAAATAACTCTAAAAACATCTTTTCAAGAAATCAGACAACAACGGCTATATTAATAATCAACGGCAACGGGCGCGCTTCGGCGCGGTCGAACCACACCGGGTGAGACCCTCGGTAAGGGAGGCCCAGCGAGGAAGACCAGCGGATGAAGTCCTCTGCGCGCTCCGAGTCGCCCTAAATGGCACTACTTCTGAAGCGGTTAAATATAATAAGAACATAAAGAACTCTTAAAATGACAGCCATGTTGGGAATTAGTATTCGTAATCGTATTTCGTTAAGCGGAAGCCGAAACTTAATGTTGCCAGTTGCCACTTGCCTGCCAAGTGCCACTGTTTTTTAAATCTATTTACATGACGTGCTTGCGCTCTGTGGCTTCGGGATATATCGACCCCATCGCCCACTGTGATCACTTATGGTTCAATTTTCAACAACTACCACAATAATATTAAATTTAAAAATAAACACGCCTTGTCTCTTCACTTCATTTATTGCAACTCAATGACTAAACAATATTAATAAATATTTATTTATTTAATTTTTCAAATAAAAACTGAACTTTATTGACTATAATGACTCATTTTCCAGTCTTTGATTATTTAATTGTAATTTATTATTTGCATGTAATCAAAACCTATTTTTAATAATGCCAAAGAAGTATAACTTCTTACGCGCGTACGTAAGTACACGCACCCTTTTTTTAATAGTACAGAGAAGAGATGAAAGTGACGATATTCGGAGAACTTTGTGTGAGAGACTTACAATATAATTTTAATAAATGTATTAAATTTAAAGCTAAGTCTTAATAAGGTAACTCAAATCAAAATGACGGCTCTATATTATAATTAGCATACTCTATAACTCTGTTAATGTATAAATAGCCTGTGGACGAAACTTCATAAAGCTCACAATGGAGTGTCAAATATAATGTCACGTTCGAAATTTCGAATCTGTGATCTGACATATTTCATGAAATCAAATCACTTGAAAAAACACTAACAGCTTTAAATTATACAGCTTTCGGACATGGAATGATAATGTTGTTTTTCGCCTTTTTGTTACTTCAGTTAATGATATTAGGTTGGTGGACTCAGTTTCTGCACTAAAGCCGGGTTTCCACCGCGAGCGGAACGGACCCATTAAGTCTGTACTCGGTCTAACTCGCAAGAGTAAACTGCATACTTGTATTCCCACCAACAATTAGTCGGGCGGAAAGGACTAAGCGAGCAGAAAGAGTTGAAAGGAACTCGCTCAGTTCTAGGGAGCGGAGCGGAGTAATTACAGAGTCCGTTCAACTCGCAGTGACAAATTACATAGTAGCGTTTCCACACAGAAAGTGCTGAGCGGGGCGGATCGAACGAGTAAAAAGTGATTGAAACGAGTCCGCTGTGGCAAGGTCTCGCCGACTAGTTTGACACTTCACTTCTATTTAAAGTGAATAGGAATAACGTATTATTGGACGATGTAAACAATTCTATCTCTCGTATAGTTAACTGGTTTAATGTAAATAACTTACTGCTTAATAAGAATAAAACAAAATGTATTAGATTTACAACTACTAGCGTAAAGCGAGATATTGGTAACCTGAAAATTAAGGACAGTGAACTAAACTTTGTTGACAAAACTGTTTTTCTAGGCATAACAATAGATAGTAAACTCCAATGGGGCCCACACATAGAGACTCTTTCGAATAGGCTGAGCTCTGCAGCATATGCAGTAAAGAAAATCCGACAGTTTACTGATAAGGACACGGCTAAAATAGTGTATCATAGCTACTTCCACAGCGTTATGCCGTACGGTATTTTACTGTGGGGTGCTGCTGCAGAGGTTCAATCCATATTTGTGCTGCAGAAGCGGGCTGTTCGGGGTATTTGTTGTGTTTCTCCGAGGGAGTCGGTACGGAATAAGTTTAAGGAATTAAATATTATGACACTATCTGGTCAATATATTCTTGAAGCCTTGTTGTATGTCCAAAAAAATATAAACGATTTTAAAACAAATGGTGACTTTCACCAGTATAATACGCGAAATAGAACTAATTTGAGTGTACGACCAACCAGGCTCCAAAAGATAAACCACTCCTTATATGGAAATTGTATTCGTTTTTACAACAAACTCCCAAGCGAAATTAGAGAATTATCACTAAATAAATTCAAAGCCCTTGTTAAACGAAAATTAATCAACAAAGCTTTTTATAAATTTGAGGACTACTTAAATGATCCTAATCCTTGGGATTGAATTGCTCCAGTTCAAACAATTTGTATGACAATACTTGGCGATTAAAAAGAGTGGCGGAAAGTTTCTTGCCAGTTCTTCTTACCCGCTCTACGCCCTTGACTTGCGAACTGGTAGTAAATGTAAATTTGTGATTAATTTAACTTGACGATTCAAAAGTGTACTTGGTTACCCACTTGAATAAAGATATTTTGAGTTTGAGTTTGAAAACGGACTCACTCGCTGTTTCCATCACCCGCGCTCAAATTAAATTAAATATTAATTTAAATTAAATTAATATTTAATTAATTATTAAATTTAAAAATAAAATTTAAATAATTTATTCATTAAATTTATTAATTTATTTTAATTAATTAATTTAATGAATAAATTATTAATTTCAATTAATTATTAAATTTAAAATATATTTTTTTTTAATTTAATTTTTATTTTTAATTAAATAATTTTTCATCGTCTAAATCGTAGAATAGCCTATATTCCCCTTTCAATGTTCTTTCTCGAATGTGCTGGCATAACCAAAATCTCCGTCTTGCACGTTTTTTTCTATGCTTAAGATACAATAATGTGTACTTTTTCTTTCTGTATACATAATCACTGTCTTCACTCGATCCCGTGTCACTACCACACGCGCGTGTCACTAAAACACTACCACACGCAACCAGTTCAAAACTCCAACTGAACTCGCTTTCTGTGTAAACTGATTGTTCATTTTCCATTTCTCATTTTCCGTTCAGCTCGCTCCGCTGATTCCTCTCTCTCATTTTCCTTTTGCAGTGGAAATCAACAGACAAATCTCTTTGTTGGTGGAAATGTAAACCTATTTCATTTAAAAGGCGTCCGTCCCGCCTAACCATTTCCCGCTCATTACCCTTTCGCGGTGGAAACCCGGCTTAAGACTCATAATTGGTCCGATGTGCGTAAAGTCCTGGCTAATTTACCCAGCCTAGTTCCTTTCAGAAGCACAGAAGACTCCTGGGCATTACACAGGCTTCACGAAGCGACCTAACTGC